GCTTCATTTCTGACTGATCTCTAGGTTGCCTGTCAGTCCAAGTTTACTCAGTTTATCTGAAGGGCAAAAATAGGGCCTCAAGAAGGGCTGGAGTATGTTGGTTTCCTTGCAATCGCAAATATGTTCTTTTAAAATTATGGCCATTTCTATGAAACTATCAACTTCAAGAAATAAGTAAAATTCTGAGAAACTCCAAAGAGGAAAATAAAAAATTTTTCCCCTTAGGAGCTGAAGTTTGTTAAAAGACCTAAGCAATTTATACATACTTAAAGTTATTTTTTAAAAGGATGAATATAATTGAGGGTGTAATTCAGCAGTAGTGTGATTGTCCAGCATGTGTGAGGCCCTGAGTTTGATGCCAGTACTACATTAAAGGAAAAAAACTATAAATATAATTGTATGGTAATTTAAATTTTGATATTCCCTTTACCAGTGAAATGGGGGTGCCCTCTTAATGTGTTAGGAAATAACACATTTTTTCTTTGCTTAATATTATGATGATATCTATTATTATGAATCATTAGCAAGTTCAGGTAAATTGATTACATTTAAAAATCAAATTTCTGGGGCTGAGGATTTGGCTTAGTTGGTAGAGTGCTTGCCTTGCATGCACAAGGCCCTGGGTTTAATCCCCAGGCCTCACATGCACGAACACATACTCACAAAAAAAAAAAAAAAAAATCAGATTTCTATTTGTAGTTGATATTCCACTGATAAGAGATTTTGTATATTTTTTTTATTAAAAGAAATATTCATTCTCTTTTTCACTCATTAACAATGCTGGAGAAAGAAACATCTTTTAAGCCATTGGACAGTTTAACACCTGAGAAAACAATATTTTATTAATCTTTTAATAGGATGTTCCCTTATCCTTTATGCTTATTGACTATCTTTCAGGATTAAGATGAAGGGCCTAAAGATTAAGATCATTAGAGACTTGAATTACAGTATTCTATATTTAAGAATCTGAGTGTAGCTTGGTGTGGTGGTACACACCTGTAATCCCAGTGGCTTGGGAGGCTGAGGCGG